TGTCAGCTCGTTCTAATTCTCGCGCAGCTCGAGCTATCATACGCTGCGCGAGAGGCGCGGCGCGGTGATTGAGAAATGATGATGATGATGATGGCGCTACAGGAAAGGGCGGCATGAAGGCACCACGAAGAACATGGGAAATGCACCAAACACGGATCCCAGACGCTTGGCTCAATGTCCAGTGCAATGCAGAGATGACCACCCTTTCTAAGCAGTTTTGGCTGCAAACAGCCCTTAGGCCGTCAGTCAGTCAGGCATGTTCAAAGGGTTTCACGAGGGAAGGCGACTGCGCTACAAAATTCAAAGTACTGCTATCGTGTTGTCGCTGCTTTTGGTGCATCCCTAGGAGTGCTGACATGGAACAAATCAGGGTAAGCTCAGCTGCAACGTGTCATGCGTCCAAGCAGCACCAAGCCAGGCAGGCCGATCATAACAGTGTTCATTCTAATCCCATGCGCTTGAAATAATAACAAACTAAGAGAGAGCTGATAGCGGCATCACACTCTTGCAAAGGAGGGTAGGGGTAAAAGTGAAAAAATATTGTGCCTGGCACCTTCGTGTACGTAATGCACTGTAGCGCAGAGCAGAAGGGTGCTGTGCCGCTGATAGCTCTTCCTTCACTTTTCTGGATTGTGTTGTCTCCAGAGGTTCGCACACATGAAATGTGAACAAATTAATGCACTTCAATAGTGGAAACATTGCGAAGTCCCAGTTAAAAACAATGCATTCAATCACCCACTTCCCTTTGCCAGAGCGAGGTGAGATCAATGGATCAAACCGGGCACATCGCAGCGATTGCAGCGCCTGCTCCTCCAGTGGTGGGCCGGTCACCCAATACGCTCAAATTGATGAGGGAGCATTGGAGCTAACATGGGCACTGAAAGAGTCCATGAGTACGCAAATCAAACTATTGTTTCACTTTTGTGGCTGCTGTTGTTGCCTTGCTTAGAACACTCTCAGCTGTGCTTGATGCACATCTAAGTACGGCGTTGCGCAGTTCAATCTTGATATATCTAATCGGTAAGGGATCACAAAGAAGTTGTTAATCTTGGTGACTCGGTCTATAAAATACTTTATAGTATATAGGGAAGATTCTACCAGGGAATTTAGAACTGTTGAGTATAATTCTCTCACTTTTATTTTCATTTTACCTTGCCAGAAACAGACAAAGACTGTGGATAGGTTGCTTTACCATCCCTTTACTGTACCCAAATATTCAAGCGTAGGTACACTAGACATGCTGTTTCATCTTACTGTTGGTCAAAACCCCTGCCAAACACAGGTTCCACTCAATAGTAACACCATGAGTGCCATGAACACAGATTGTACTTCTTTGCTTGTTTTGTCTGTTTGGCAAGGACATTATAATGTGCTTACTAAAGCTGAGGCGATCGGTAGTGCAGGGCCTAACGTTTGAGTCAATCGGTACTCTTTAACGATACATTTTGCAGTTTTCGTCATGTATTCCAGATTCAAAATGCGTCATCTGCCACAGGTAACATTTGAAGGTTCTCATCACATTGAAAAAGTGCGGGTTATAGGTAGACTAGTGAAAACACAGATTTCAGACAAAGGCAAGAAACATTGTATTTTTAACAGAGTGCTCAAAACTTTCGAGTCTGCTGTTAATGGACCACCGTATTTGGCCAATGCACGTGAATGAATAGCTCTGGTTATAAGTCTCAAGGTAAACTGGTGTGGGCAAGTGAAGACAACAACACAGAAGAAATGGGACAGGGACAAGCGCAAAGTTTTAGTTGAATTTTATTATTTGTCACCCTTGAAGTGTAAACACACGAAAAACATAGTCACGTGGTCACATGATCAAAACCAAACAGCTTACAAGACACGCAGAAAATTACTTTCACTATCAAATAAAATACTGACGTGTTGCTTACACAAGCATTCCTTCTTGCAGATATATAAAAGGCTTGCATCAGTTCGCGGGCTCTGGTAACACCGCTCCTACCCAAAATCTTAATCTCTTTGGAAATCGGCGAGCACATGCAAGCTTGACAATGCGCAGGCAAATGCACGTTCCCGTCATTTCTAAGTGAAAGCTCATGTTCCCTTGCACGGTAGCTGATGCAACGCCCCGTTTGGCCTACGTAACATTTCCCACAAGACAGCGGTATTTCATAGGCGGTGCCAGTCGCACATTTTGCCTATGCCAAAGCTTGCTTCTTTCCGTAACCGCTGGATTTCTTCTCGCCAGGGGAGATTCTGGGACAAAGCCCAGCCAGATTACGGGAGGGGGGGGGGGGAGAACACCATTGGCATTACGTGCCTACTCGCTAGCTTTTTCAAGTTGTGGGAAATGTGATGCATATAAGGCATCACCTCTGGGTGCCACCTGTGATGCGGGCTAGGGTCCACGCTGGAACGGGCTGCTTTGTTGTCACTACCGTGCAAGGATACCTGGCAGCAAGTAAACGCCGAACCTGATCATTAAAGCTATCTTGCATTTCATTTCGGCATGATTTCCTGAGAGCAGACCGTAGACATAATTTGGCAATCTCCCTCCTCACAAGCTTACACTGCGCAGCATTGTAAGGCAACAGGGCCTTTGTGCGGCCGTGCACTAAAACACCAAAATAGATGATCTGCTAAACGAGACATAAATCTAAAAGCTGCAGTGAGTTATCAGTGGAAAATTTATATATGAAGGTCAAGCCCTTTCTGCACTGTTTAAAAACGTTAAGAACAGCATCAACAGAGTTGCCTAAGGTTATAAAATGGGGCCTCTCTAAAAGAATTTAAAAAATCATCCACATACCTAAATACTTCAAAAACACGTCATTCATCAAGTGTACTATCTGAACACCGATCAACGTCACATACGATCCAGTTCAAATTCCTTGTCGCTGCAGATAAAAACCGTTATCAAACAAAACAGAGGTAGAGCGAAGATAAAATTTTGGTATAGACATAGAATTATCGACCGACAAGCTTGAAAAACAATGACGTCATCGTTTTCAATGCAGTCGCAAACAGAAGCAAAGAACTGTGCATAAAGTATTGAATAGAATAAATTGTCTACACCAACTGAAAACACAAACTCTGTGTAATTTTTCATCTGCGAAAAATGCACAACATTCTCTAAACTCTTGGTAGCAAAGGGATCCAACACTTGACAGCCTATTGAGTTCTTTAAGCAAAAACTAGCTAATTGCTGCCAAAGTCGCTGCTCATTTACTATTGTGTGCAAAGGAACTTGAGGCTTCTGTGTCTTTGCAGTGAAAAATAGATTGAGCCCATTACCTTTAAATTTACTAATATCTCTTGCCAACCAAACAATTTCCAGGTCTTTACTCATGTTTTCTGCTTTGGTTTTCACACGAGAGCGCTGCTTTTTACAGAAATAAAGTTCTTAGAAATTCACCTCTAAGCATACGTCCCCGAACCTAAAACAGCAAACTCTCTCTTTTTATCTCCTTGATGAAAGCAAAGGTCTTTGTCTCTGAAATGTTTCACCACCTGTTCTGTGGGATCCCGGCACTGGCGGCAGTCTGTCTTATGCACTGTCCTTGACAATACGTCGACCCCCTCAAGCAAACAACCCACGTGTTGATTTTGGAATGGCCTAGTAGCAACACGTCTGTTAAAAACTAGCATTTCATGGGGCGGTAGAACCGTTTCATAGCCAAAGTTGGGACTTTGCTTCAGTATGCATTCAACGTGTTCCCCACATCATCGCCTAAAACAAGAACACGCGACTCCCCTCTTCGTTTGTCCTCTTTTTTACGAATCAAGTTAAGCACATTACTCAGCCAGAAGGCCCATCAAAACTCAATAGTACAAGCAGTGAAAATCCTCAGGGAATGCAATTACACTGCTGCCTTCCAGGGAGGGACACTGGTGTAGCAATAGACACGTAGGTAATCCTGAAGAAGCCGGTTTTGCTTTCAGACAACACACACATACACGAGAGCATTACAGACAACACACACGTTTAGCATCTAACGCTGCTAACGGTTCAAAATGTCTGTGGATGCTAGTCCTTTCCTTAAACAGAATGAAAAATATCTTGATCGGCAAGTAGTTGTGGCTCACCAAGAGGTTGATGGTTGACGACGAGACAAGACATTGAAGAAAGGGCCCGTTATAGTAGAAATTCGGTTCAGTAAAACTTGCAGTTGGACGAGTTGATTCATATGTCAAGGTAAACTGGTGTGCACAAGTGAAGGCAAGGACACAGGGACAAGAGGAAACTTTCAACTGAACTTTATTATTTGTCACCCTTCAAATATAAACAGGAAAAACATAGTCATGTGGTCACATGGTCAAACCAAACTGCTTACAAGTAGACTCGCAGAAAATTACGCGCACTATCATATAAAGATACTGACGTGTCGCTAACACGGGCATCGCATCTTGCAGATATATTGTATAAAAGGTTTGATCAGTTGCATATTAAGTGTTTAATTTTAGTTTACTTATCGAAGCTGTAAGCGGAGCAATACAGAAAAATTTTACCCAGATATGACGCCATATCAACATCATTAATTCAAGAATAGACACTCGGACTAGTTGGTGATAATTCATAGTTAGTTGTATTGTGCAGAGCGAAAAATGCAAGACGGAAAAGCTGTCTGCGTGCACTTTGCTGTCTTATGCACTGGCTACATCTGTGTCTCTTGCGCCTGCGTCTTATGCGCTACCCATTCGAAGTAATGCTTTCCCATTTCTCTCTAGTCATGAGACACATGTGTTGGCTTTTGTTGCTGACTCTCTCATTTTTTAGTGTAGAGCTTTGCTGCATTGATGCCGTAAAATTCGGGATCTTAGACACGATTCCACTTTAGAACATAGAGCTGACACAAGATGGATACGATATCTGATCAACAAAAAATTGTACTTCAATGAAATTAGACTAAGAAAAGTTGATTTGTGAAATGAAGAAATTTGCTGTAAATGAGCAAATTTCTGCGGACGAATAAAACAGATGCCTGGTTGGGTCCTAATTGAGAATTTCTAATTGAAACCACGAAATGTTTCAGGGCCGGAGGAGGACATTCCTCGGAAGCTGGAGTACATGGAGTTCGTTTGCCATGCCCCTTCGGAGTACTTCAAGGCCCGAAAGTCGCAGTACCCCATGCAGAAGCCTCCAGGCCCTGAGTGTGGTTTCATTTGGACTAGAATTGGCCCACAGATCAGGCCAGTTCCAACCCAGGAAGAAGTGTTCGGGACAGTTTAGGTGGCCGTGTTTCCTAGAGATCTGACAGAACAGTGTTTCATATTTCTCATTTCCCAGTGTTAGGTGAGTGACAGTTTGCTCGATTGTTTGCACCAGATTTGTGCCCGACTTTTGTGCGTCAGCATAATCGGACTAAATGGAACAGTCACAGCTGCCACGTGATGAGCTTAATATTACAAAGAAGCTCATGATTTGACGTAACAACAGGAGTTTATTTATTTCAGTGTTGACTCCAGTGTGATGGAATAGGTATCCTGTTTTACTTTCATGTATATAACAAGAATGAAGCCAAGTAGCACTACTACGAGTAGTTATCTGTTACAAGCTTCCTTGAAGTGATGCTTATGTTTTGCAGTGCATATTACTGCCATAGGCGAGACATATTACAAAAGAGAAAAAACAATGTGCATGAGTGTACCTCCACAGGTACACCACCTGCATTTTTCACAGACCAGTGTACTTAGGAAATAGGGGCTGAAATTATTGGCCTTCGCATAATTGGCAGCTGCTGCATTCTTCAAGCAGGAGAAAAGAGCAAATTTCCTTTTAGTTACATCGTATTGAAAAAATTGATCTGAGCAGAAAGAAAATGTTTGGCCGTAACATCAGTACGAGAAAGAAAGCGGCACACAGCTGTATCATATGCATTTAATAGTCTTATGAGAGTATGAATCATGTTATATGGTGTTCACATTATATTCTGGCATCATTTGCCAGTCCAAAAAGTCGAAAGCAAGCACCCCTATTGCCAATTCTGTTCAACCTCGCTCTATGCACGAGTTTTCTAGCCAGTTTTTAAATGAGTCTGCAGATGTTTTTTTAGGAGACAACAGCAGAGTGGCTTTATTTTCCCCCATTTATTGATGAAATGCATTACTCTTGTAAAGCCTGAATGCGCACAATTGAATGTGAAAAATGTAGAGGAAAAGGTCTTGCAGTGTGCTACACTTGTCCAGAACGAGTGTAGGCAAAGGAAAAAAGACAGTTTGCGAGATACTATTTGGACAAATCTTGCGGCAATTGTCATGCAGTCTCCATGTTTGTGCACATACTGTACACATGGTTAGCACCTTTGCACACTACTTAGTTTGCCTGCTAGCCACATGAACCCTAAGGACAATAGATTAACAAGCAGCAAACCGTGCCAGTGGCTGATCAAGGTTTTGTGTTGGTGCCAAGCTATGGCACATTTCTGGCTATTCAGTTGATTTTCTGGGGTTGAAGCTTACCAACACTCTGGCAAATCAGTTCTATAGAAGCCTGCAAGGTGGAAAAAGATCTGTGAAACAGGAATGGCAAATCAGTTCTATAGAAGCCTGCAAGGTGGAAAAAGATCTGTGAAACAGGAATGGTCATTCTCCCACTTTGTAGCACAAAGCTAAAAGGAAGTCTATAAAGCAGCGAAGCTTCTCAGGTGAGTAAAAATTCAGGACTACAAGCGGATAATCTTTTTTAAACTAAAAAGTGAATGGTCAAGGAAAATTTGGCTTTCGTTCACGCAGTTCATACGTTCATCACAAAAACAAGTTTAGCTTCACTCATAGCTACAGCTTACCTTATGCCATGTTTTTGTGATGCCATTACAGCACCGCATTACAATACTGTGGTAACTGCGTAATGTGTATGAAACAGCATCAAGCGCCTTTTGTTATCTACATGAAGGGCTGGGCAGCTATGAAATCGGGATGTCAATGGCCTAGAAGGCATCCTACAACCCACGCACAATGCATGCAAACTTGAAATTTTTTGCAATTCATAGATGGCAGCATAAGCTCAGTGCTCCACGTGTATGTCCTTTAAAAAACAAAGTGGATAAGCTTCGAGTGTATGAAATTCATGAAGTGAATAAATCTCTCAAAATCCACCATTGTTATTCAACATGCTGGGAAGAAAAAAAACGTATTGAAGCAAACTATTGTTCATGTAAGCCTAGCCGTATCCATATTGTGAAAAAACGGGAGTGTCTAATGACAGTTACTGTTATGTCTGTGGTCACCCATTCACAGTCGTCACTGTTAACAATTTGGTGTGCTGGCTGGTCCACCTTTGTCACTTTGCATGATAGGCCCTCAGTCGGCATTTTCCACGTCCTGCAAAAAGGGCTGCTCACAAGTGGACAGAAATTGCCTTTCTAGAGTATCATTGCCGCCACGGTGCATGCCGCCCACTCGGCTACTGACTCAAAAGGGGCAAGTAAGATCCCTGCTGTGGTGACCGCGTTATAATGGAGGTGAATTGCTTGAGGCCCATGTACCTTACAATGTTAGTATGTGTAAAAGAACCCGAGGTGATCAAAATTTTCCAGAGCCCTCCACCACAACGTCGCTTGCAGCCAGAGTCGTATATAATGCGTATATATGCGTCATATATGCGTATATAAATCAAAACAAGCTAGGTGTGACTGATTGCAAGGCCTTGACCACCTCATTGCCTGAAAAGACAAGTTTACCTTCATCTTGTGTCTTCATCTTTTGCACTACCAGCTCAATCATGCAATCTAAATAATTTTCCCAGAATTCAGTTCTCGTAATCAAAAGGCAGTTCTGTAGCATGCTATAACAGTTGACACAGACACATTATTATGTGCTTTTCTAGTAAGCTTGTCTTGTTGTGGTTACGCTGTGCTATCACAGCCTAACCCAGAAACTGCTCAGAGATTGTGTCAGGGTGGTGAACAGCATACTACCTAGCTTTTAGTGCTTGTCAAAGGCTGAGGCGGTGCATGTTAGCCTGCTGAAGCTGTCTATGCAAAGATAGCTGGAGGGATGCCTTGGGTCTTGTTCTGGCGGAGGAAATATTACAATGCATTGAAGTGGATTAAATATTGGGGAAAAAGGAGGAGGAAGACAACAATGTTTCTCCGAATGTGACAGCTTTAATGCTTCAATGCTAGCTGCCTTATTAAAGCCCCCTTTAAACAACTCCAAAGCATGTTGCAACATGTACATTTGTGGGGGTGGTGATGCACCCTAAGCATGATTCAGACAGACTGTTAAGGGATATTCACTTGAGGGAGAAATCGGCAGGGGGCAGAAGGGGATTGTGTATCACGTGACCACGTCAACACGGATTAGTGAGTGTGTGTAACCTCCCTGTGACTCCTCAGCGGAGGCGGCAACCTTTTCCCCGACAGGACAAATGATCCCTCGCCGGTGTGGGATATGGCGGAATTTTGGGCTCTTGTTTGGCCACATTGTTTCACTTGCTCCTGCAAAGAGCGGCTGTGGGTGTTCAGTCTGCAGCTGCATGGTTGTCTGCAGCATGTTAGCAGCTCATCGAATCGCTGGTATAAGCTACCAGAGTAGTCTGTAACACTGGTCTCCCCCTCCGTTCACCTCGTCCATGTGAGTGAGAGACATTTCGGGGGGACTTCTCCTCGCCTGTTGGCGTCACTAGGCTCCACCTTTACACGTGTGAATTTGTCGCTCAAGTGAACACCGCTTCAGCTGGTAACCTTGCTCAACCTCGTGGTTTTTTCTTAAATAGACTTCGTCATGTAACTTCAGGCTACCAAGAATTCAAGCACCTGTGTAGGCCTGGTTCACTGACTGCACGGTATCTTTCCCGTAGTAGAGAACATTTCAGTGTAAATGGTGAAATCATTTTCCATCCTTCAAGCTATTTGGTTTCAATAAATGCAAAGTTGTGGGATGATTCTTAAAAGAGTAATGATGCAATTGCTAATATCTTTGAATGCCTGAATTTGAAGATCTTGGTCTGGTTTCAATTTAACGAAAGGAAGATGGGCAGATTGGCAGAGGAGGCCGCAGGTAAAGTAATACCGCAGCAGTGTACAGTCGAGTGCATAATTTTAGAGACCACGGGAGCGCGTGCCGAGGCGCGTCGCTGCACCTTCTGGCGGCTGCACAGCTCTGTCCGGGAGCGCGTACTGCGCATGCTCGTCCCATATCACCCGACAGCCTGCCCGTTCGCTCGTTTCAACGGCGCGCATTTCGAAACGATGTGGAATGCGCAAGGTGCCACTTCTGCAGTCGCTGTGCAAGCACCGGTACTCCCGAGCGATAATGTAGCGGCGGAAATGCCTCTAATATAATAGCATGGCTTGAGCGCGCCATGCAATGTGCTTTCTTCCTTGATGCAGCGCGGAAAACATGCAGTTTTTCAGCTTTTCTCAAACGGAGTTGCGTGATATGCTCATCTTGCAGTGATTAATTTTGTGCTCTGTCTCGGAGACGTTATGCCAGCTCCATTTCTTGGTGCGAATATCGCGTGTGCAGTGGTATGCCGTAAACCACTGAATATCGTGCGTCCAGAATGAATAGCCAGGAAGCACGATAAATAAACAGTTTATTCTTATAAGCCAGAAAAAAAAAAGAAAACGATAGCTATAACTGCTATCCAGAAAATATCATTACTTTTAGTATTTAATCAAGCGCCCATCGGCGGAAATCACTTGCGCCACACGAGATGGCATCGAATTGTAAAGCGCGGCCACGATCTCGGGGCATGAACGAAGTGCTTCCCACTCCTCCTGTATGGCCACGAATAGGGTCTCCTTTGTTAAACTTCCAAGATTCTGCGCAAAGCCGTTTCACGAGACCCCAGAGGTTTACAATGGGGTTCAGGTCCGCTCCTACAGGTGGCTATTCCAATGTGCGAACAGCAAGGCCCTCAAGCAAAGATTTCACACTGCGAGCAATGTAAATCGGGCTCCTGTCATGCTGGTACACGAAACATCCATCCTTGAACGGCCTATTCAAGACATACGGAAGCAATTCTCTCTCTATTATAAGAGAGTATGTGGAGGCTGAAAGGTTCCCATTGATAAGAACCAGTGGTCCAAGTCCTTCCCTGGTCATGGCGGCCTAGACACTCACAGAGCATCGGCCACTGGCAAAGACCGACTGCGTGTACTGAGGTGAATACCTGGCGAGGAAGGAAATGCTGGATTGGTTACACAGATTTATAAGAATGACAATGACACGTAGTCACTTTATCCCCGAACGATTTCGTCTTACTTGAAGATCCATATAATGAAATTTTAATTATGCGAGATAGCCAAGATGGTGCGAAATATTCGACATGTTGGTAAGGCACCCTCAGTGCGTTCCAGAAGGCCTCGCAAACTCAACTGTATTTTTCTAAGGTAATAAGGTACAATATACAAATATTGATTGATATGTGGGGTTTAACGTCCCAAAACCACTATATGATTATGAGAGACGCCGTAGTGGAGGGCTCCGGAAATTTAGACCACCTGGGGTTCTTTAACGTGCACCCAAATCTGAGCACACGGGCCTACAACATTTCCGCCTCCATCGGAAATGCAGCCGCCGCAGCTGGAATTCGAACCCGCGCCCTGCGGGTCAGCAGCCGAGTACCTTAGCCACTAGACCACCGCGGCGGGGCAATATACAAATATTGGCTAAGGTGCTTAAGTTTGGCAAGCTGCTCACGATAAGAAGCAACACACCTTAAAGAGAATCAAAGCTAAGCAACGTTCTACAGCAAGTTCAAAGACAATAAAGTGCTGGGCTTTAATAAAGACAATAAAGTGCTGGGCAATAAGGCGCACTGTAGTGGGTGACCTGTCGTTAATTTTTACCAGTTGCGGTTACTTACCCTGTGCACTACTCTTTCTACTAATTCAATGGTAAATAGTACAAGTATGACATTAATGTAGAAGACAAATCGCAAATGTTACCTCGAGTACATTGGACGCCATACTCGCCGTTCCTGATCCCAGCGACTTGAAAATGTTGATTCATCGCTGAACACGACTTCTCTCCACTCTTCTGATCCCCATGTCTGCACAGAACGCACAAACTGAAGTCGCATGGATCTTTGCCTGTCCGTGATGTGGAGCTTCTGGGCCGCAACGCAGTTGGCAAGCCCTGCTTCTGCCAACCTCCAATGGATAGTCCAGAGGGACGCGTTGAGATGCAATGCATCTTTTATGCCTTTCGCTGTTATATGAGGATCAGCTACTACGGCAGCAATAATTAGCCTGTCCACTTCGTCATCTGTGCATCTTGACCTTCCAGCACTGTCTCTGTCACTGATCCCCCTGTTTGTCGGTGCGCTTGGATGGCACGACTCACCGCATTTCTTGACCTTTGAAGGAGCCGGCAGATGACTCGCTGAGAAAAGCCTTGAATGCTTAACTCTACGATGTGTCTCCTTCCGTCAGCTGGTACTCGTGGCGACATTTTTGAAGACGAATGTGGGGGCCTTGAAACCCCCGATCTTGTACTCCTTCGAGAATGGCACTGTCCAATAGCTGTCTAATAGCTGGGCTGTGCTGCAATATGCTGCCATTCAACATTTGCTGTACGAGATAATTTCTTATCGTCACCAAGCCCGAAAGACCAGGAAACAAAGCAAAGAGTTGACAAAAATGACAAAATGGTACTGCGCCTGCGTCGCAAGCACGTGTCAACCTTCTTAGTGCCCAATTTTTCTGAGAGAGTTCTAATAAAGAATCACATTTCCACGCAGTGAGTAATGTGTACAAAAGGAGCGGTGTGCCGCCGTGCGAGGTATTTGGTCGAACAGCTTAAGGAATTAACTTTTGTTTCCTTGTGGGGCCTCCAACATTTGAGCACTTTGAACTGAAATGTGCTCGCCTGTAATTCACTGCAGTGTTTTACAAAACAACGTGACCAGAATAACAGAATACACGCTGATGCTCGAGCGACAGATGTTAACAGAGCAGTATCAATTCCCGACTACTTCACGTTCGAGAATGTTCCGTGCATATGTCATGGGTAGAGTTCTATTGAAATACTGAAAGCAGTGACACCCCTTTCAACCTTCGTGATTTTCTCTGGTTTTCGGAAAAAACATTCCCAGATACCCCCAAATATGAAAAGACTCGAAAGTGAAAGCCTATGACATCTCTTGC